GTCAGCAAGTGTGGTTTGTGCATGTACCAAAATTGCCTTGCCTCCTTTTGCCTGATGGGGTGGCCATTGTTTCCGTGATGTGCATTCTGCAGAGTTGGACAAGCAAAAGCACGTAACAAAAGAAAACAAACAAGAAAAACAGCTATCTCAACAATTACCTTTAGCACCATTGCCAAGATCTCAGCACTCTTTGTCAGTGTGGTGAACATCCCTAGGTGCTCTCTCTTTTCTCTCTCAGCATGGATGACACTCTCTCCTGTTATTTCCAGGCTATGAAACTAGACAGCTACCGAGCTAAACACGTCATGTGCTCCAGAGCTTCTCCCATGTCCAGCAAGAAGAAGTTTATACCCACCAGACCCCATGCATGTGGTGCTTTTGGGCACTTGTGAGTAGCAGATACCGCGTCGTGGCATTTGTATGGCATGTGCACGTGGATGTGTCTGGTGTATGTGAGGCTCTTGTTTGCAGCCAACGTGCGGCACACATCTAGTGTGACCCAGACATACATCAAACTCCTCCTCCTTCAGGTTCTTGATCCTTGAAGGATCGCTTGATCTCATAGAGGGCAAGGTCCAAGCAAGGAAGTAAGCCACCTTGCCCCTCAATAGTGTGGCTGGTGTGTTTCTCAACGTGGTCGGATTTTAAAATCAGCTGTACTTCTAAGATCCTGGTGGGGGATTGTATGGAAATGCAATAACCACATCGTGTTTGGACAGATGGGTCATGAGAAAAACCAAGATTCACTCGCAAAACAATATTCCTTTAAAAAAAAAGACCAAGAAATGTGAGGCCCTTTCAGGGCATCACACAACAATGCATAGGCAACAAAACGTTCAGCAAAATTCATAGCTGAGTCAGTTGCATAATGCAGCTAAGTTCTTTATAGTCGAGGTTGCTCCGCAATCCTCATGGCCTTCAAAGCGCAAGCCCCAGCACTGTTTGTCGCTCGCCCCAGCATTTACCCCGAGAAGGCATAAGTCTTACAAACAGTGCCAGCAAGTACCGCAACCAGGTACCTGCCACCTTTCTGTTCCACGAGAATGACAGGGGGGCCTCTTATTTCCAGCTCAGGAAACGAGACAGCTACTGAGCTAAATATATCATGTGCTCCAGAGCTTCTCCTATTTCAGGCAAGAAGAATTTGACACCCACCCCATGCATGTGGTGCTTTGGGAGTAGCAGATGCCGGGTGTTGGCATTTGCATGGCATATGCACATGGATGTGTCCGGTGTATGCGAGGCTCTTGTTTGTTGCCGTCGAACAATACGCATCTGACACGACCCAGACACACATCAAACTCTGCCTCCTTTGGGTGCTTGATCCTTGAGGGATTGCTTGATCTCCCAGAGTGCAAGGTCCAAGCAAGGAAGTACGCCATGACTGATGTATTTCTCGGTGTTGTTGGATCTTAAAAATGGCTGTGCTTTTGAGTTCCTAGCAAGGAATTGTATTCTCTTACGAATGAATCTTTGGTTTTTTTCACAATCCATCTATCCAAACACAATGTTGTTATTGCATTTGCATATTCCTTTCAAAAGTACAAAGAATGTGAAGCCATTTCAAGGCATCACACAACAATGACAACAATGTATGGGCGACAATGCGTTCAGCAAAATTCGTAGCTAAGTTGGTCACACAATGTTACCAGGAGTTCTTTATAGCTGCCTCGCTCCGCAATTCTTACTGCCTTTCAAAGCGCAAACCCCAGCACTTTTTGTCTCTCACCCCAGCATTTACCCCGTGGGGGCATAAGTCTTACAAATAGTTAGCAAATGCCGCACCGGGTGCCTACCACCTTTCCGTTGTGTGGGAATGACAAAGGGGCCCTTGTATTTCCAGCCCAGGAAGGAAAAATAACTGATAAAATTACCTGAGTTAATTTTATATTTTAAGCAAAAACATCTCTAGTAGATTTGCATCCATGGCCTGAGGCTCAAAGTCTGAAGGGTTGATCAATGAGAGTGCTCTGCGTTGTTGTGAAGATGACCGTTGAGTTCTATTTTCAAATATTCTGGACTGCTTTCTTTTTTAATCTTTTCTTGCAGGCCGATGAAATGTAGTATGTTCTTGGGAGGATCTTGGCGGTGATGGCGTTCAAACCGGTTCTATAGGCTCAGGGCACAGGCCAGGTATGTCTCTCCACAGCCTTGATGGCAGGCACAGCTTGGATGGAATTTAGACTTCTGGAGAGATTCCAAAATCATAGAAACGTGCTAAAGCTACTAAGGTAACACGGAAGCTACTACAAGGAAGAAGAGATGGAATTCTCTTTCTAACAGGTTGTTGGATCGTCACCTTCTACCTTCTAACTGTCGCCCAAGTCCGAGGGAGACCATAAAAAGCCATGCACACCTTTCCCAGAGTCACTATAAAATTGACGCACATCCTTCCTTCTCTTCTCGACTGCCAGGCAATTAAATCAACTTTATTTTTGGGTAAACTTTGAATATACAAACACTTTTGGTCCCTGTTCCAACCAGATTAACGCTCCAATCTCACAGCCACCTATCCGATTGAGATGAGGCAGAGATTAATGTTGTGATTGGAAGGCAAGCAAGGGATGTGTTGTGACACGAGAGGTAAAAAAGAAAGATAAGTTCCAGAGTTTTCTTCGCAACTCTAGATCATAAGTATTTTTTGAGTTAGCAACATAAGAACCTTTATTTGCCATGGTCTGCAAACCAGTCAAAAGTCCTTTCTAGTGGCGCACTAGTCATCTCGTGGTACGCATAAGCTGCATTGAGCTCCTCTTGAATGTGATGCTCCCACTTCTTCAGGCTCACAGGAAAGGCATTCCTTCGCTCGAGAACAGCCCGCCAACCCACCCTCCGTCCATCGCTCCTCATGAAATCGTTCTCGTCTAGGATCCCCGCCTCTTTGAGCGCCTGATAGATCTTTCGTGAAGCTTCATCACCAACCCCGGGAATCCTGTCGCTCAAGAGCTGAGGCGTCACTGGCAATGCCAAACACTGGATCTCTTCAGTCCCCACCCCCTTCTCCTTCAGCAACTTCATGGACCGGGCCACTCCAATCGCTCGCCGCTCGTCCCTGGGCATGTGAGCGAAGAGCGTCGCCGGATAGTCGCGATCGAAATCCATCACCTCGAAGTGTCCCTCGGAGATCATCAAAACCGTGGCGTTGAATCGCAGCTGGAGCGCGAGAGTAGAAACGAAGTAGCCACCGGAGGAGGCACCCAATGCGAAGATTGGGAGGCCATCCAGGCGGTTCTCGCGGATCCAGCCCTGGAGAATCGACACCACTTTCCCTGTGTCGGCCTGGCGATCCCAGCAGGTATTCGTGCTGGAGATAGCGATCACGGCATACCTGGACTCCAGCGCCTTGAGAACGTAGAGGCGATCCTCTGGAAGACCGATGCAGTGAGGGCAATTAGGGCTCGTGTCCCAGAAGAACGTGGCCCTGCAGTGGCAGCCGTGAGCCAGGAAGAGGATCGCGCGAGCCGGTCGCGGCGGCATCTGCCAGAGGAACTCGCTGCCATGCTTGCTCCCGAGGATTGGAAGAAGCTCCACACTCCTGCTGCTGTGGCCGCGGCTGCGAGAGGGAAAGATCGAGGAGAGAAAGATTAGGAGGAGGAGGGCGCCAAAGACACAAAGAACGAGCTGCCGCCATCGAAGGAAGAGCAACGCGCTCGCCCGCATGAAAGCCCTACATTTTGAAAATTTAGGGCAGATCTACAAAGGGAGAATTTTCGGAGAATTTGAGATCAAATCTCTTGTTTTCCACGGCCAGTTGCAAGCATCAAATCTTTTAAGCTGGTGAGATTGGCAAAGTTTTCCTCTTTTTTCAGCTAATCAGTCAAGAGTGGTGATGAGCAATATTCTGCAATGGAAATTCTAATTGATTGCAAGGAAATAGGAAAAAACTCCAGACCACTGTAGAAATGTTGCAATTCTTTTTTCTTTTCTGTTACATGAGAACTGTGAGACCAATTGGCCCCCTGGGGAATTTCACTCGTTGCAACAATATTTCACTCTCAATCCTCTCTAAAACTCTGTAAAACACGAGAATGTTACATGGCAAATGCATTGCCCCATAGTGGGTGTAGCCAAATTCTTCCTCCGACTTTTTAAGAAGCTCTTGGAAGAGAGGATGGTTGAGATAAGAAATTGGAATCACAAATCTCCTCCCTTCCTCGCCCACATAAACAGCCAACGATCCCTTTGGAACATCCGATGGTGGAGAGGATTTCCTTCGCAAGTAGGTTGTGCTGCGATTCCTTGTAAAGCCTGTGTTGGGATCCAAGGAATCGTCACTCTGACCATGGTGGCTCTGGCTCCTTCGTAAGATTGAGACCATCTTCTCCCTTCTTCTCTGGATGCCCGGGGAAAGAAGAACTACAGTGAAGATATAACCCCTAGAAAAGAAATTGGATGTGTGCTTGAAGCTTACAACCTTACAAGCTTTAATTCTTTCTCTCCGAGTCGGCCACTCGCAATTTGAGGGAAGAAATTGTGAAGAGACTCAATTTTAGAAGCAATCCACAGCACACTAGAAAGCCAAGCCTTAAATTATATACCAAATGAAAGGTACGACTCTTTCAAACTGTGTTGCAAAGCCATAGCGTGGAGCCATTAAATGCACTGCGTTGGGGAGAATTCCGTGTTTGACCATATCAATCGTAGGCGACACGTAGGTATATTCGGTTGGGCGGTGTAAACAGTGGTCCAGGTTTCACTCGTGGCCACAGCCGTACAAGTACCTCTCTTGTCCTTTTTTACCTTTGGCCTTTCCAATCAATCGAACCCCACCAACTGGCGCTTGAGTGCGGGGACACTTGTTGACTTCTGGCAGACAAAAGATCCCCTGGAAGGTTCTAATGCGCTTCATAAAATAAAAAAAGGCGAAAAAATCGGGTGATTTGTGATTATGTTGGTATAATGTTACGAATCACGTTATGGTTATAATTTTATTTTGTGTGCATTATTATTCCACAATTCATGGATATGATTCCAGCCACTTGCACCTTTGCAACCAAAGTTTTCCACAATCGTTAGGTCAAGACGACGCGGTACAAGCTGTAGCTATGGTGGCACTGGTGGAGTCTTTTGCGCGATAGGGGCAATGCTGGTGACGACTTCTCCAACCAGGTGTGTTAGAGCTACTCCAGATCATTGCCGCCCTTAGAAATCCTCCTTGTTGGTCTCGCGAGGCTTTTGGCTTGACCATGGAAAATCGTCCACTCCGTCACTTCCTGTCCGTATACGCTGCTGACCTAGCGACAGGAGGAACTAGAGCGCTCAAAAAGTATGGAACACGCCGAAGCTCTAGCTCACTGAGCAGCGATCTCCACTCCATTCCGCGAGGATGGTTTAGCGATTTTGGGCTTGGTGAGCGAATTCTACTCTTTTGGCGAAGATGGTTGAGCAGCAGGGATCTAGCTGGTGGCTGCAATTTGCTGCGCTCACCCGAAAGTGTTGGAAGGTGCTGCTCCACAGGAAGATCTCCCTCGCGGCTTATGTGTTTGCTCCTCCCCTCGCGGTGATAGTACTCTATATCCTCTTCTCCACCGTTGCGCTCGATGACTCCGACTTGAAGAACGACGACCGGCTCCAGAGCGTTCCCGATGGCTTGACTCGCTGCGTTGTTGTGGATGCTCGAGGAAACCGGATGGAGCTCAAGAGCTTCTCAGCACCGAACTCGTCCCAATCTCTCCAGCACTGTATCACGATTGGATTTGTTTCTGACGCTGGAAACAACGCGAAAGTCGTCATGCAACAGGTGAAAGTCTGTCCTTTCTTTCATTTTTTCTTTCCTCGATCTCGCTAAGCTAGTTTGATCTTGGTCTTAGGTGGCCAACTCGGTGGGACTTGAGTATGGTGTTGACGTGGTGGAGTTCCCCAGCAACCAGAGAATGTCCGAGTTTATGTGGAAGAATCCCGGCCATGTCGATCTCGCTGTCTCTTTTTTCCCGGACAACTTCCACGCTTATGATGTCTGGATGAACAGAAGCTACACGAGAGCCTACGAATTCGGTGCTCTCAAGAAACTGGATCCATTTCTCAAGTCACAAGGTCTATCTGGCAGGCTGCTCACACTCCAAAAATCTCTCGATACTGCTATTATTTCGACATCATCCCGAGGCCAACAGCGTTTCTCGTTGCAAGTGAGCATTGCTTTCTATGTTTCTTTTGTTTGTAACACTTTGCTATGCAGGTTGGAGCTTTCACTGACATTAGAAGCGACGAGAAAATTTCCAGAGAATCGGATGTTGGTGCCGGGCAAGAGACCGGATGTGACGAACCTACGTATCGGGTGAGAACTCAAGTCGTGATTGGGTTCATGGGAGGCACCTTGATAGCAACTGGAGTTGGGATCTCGACTATTGTGGTATGATGCAAAGCTTCTTTTTTTCCTCGAGAATACTTTTACGAGTTTGTAAATTTTTCTTTTTTCAGGTGATAATGATCCTTGCTTCGGAGAAACAAAAGAGATTGATTGGAAAACTACGTCAGATGGGGCTGCAAGAAAGCGCACACATTGCTTCTTGGACGATCGCGTTTCTTTTGCTCTCGTTTGTGAGTTCCCTGCTTACGGTGATTATCATGAAGCTCGTTTCGGGATCACACCAGCTCTTCGCCTTCAAATACACTTCATTTGGTGTAAGTTTATGCTTGAGTTCTTGCAAACGAAACTTACCTTGTTTTCCCAGGTGCTTTTTGTAACTCTCTACGCTTTTCAAATAGCCATGATCGGGGTAGCGCTGATTGTTGCGGCGCTCTTTACAAAGCCCGTGTGGATCATGACAGTTTCGTCCCTGATTTTCTTGGGGATACTCTTCTCGACAATGACGATGAACCTTACTAGTTTGACCATGGGCATGTGAGTTCTTGCTTTTGTGCAATGGTTGTCGTTTTTAATCCTTTCTATGTTTGGTGATAACAGGTTTGGCGTTGATGTGTCTGGGAATTGCGTGAGAATGGACAATCCTTACAGTGGATTCTGGGCTCCTCACAAAGCCACTCACTTCATGGAGTTTGTTATTTTCTGGTTTCCGTGGATAAGTTACGGACGGATAGTTCTAGAAATGTATGCAACCACGATCTACGGCAGGAAAAGTTTTTCATTCCATGGTAAGCTGTAGTCCTTTCCTCATGATTTTCTTTTAACATGACAATGTGTGATAGATCTCCAATCTACGATGCATTATTTAAAGTCCGGCAGCGAGGTGGCCACTGTATATTCAGCACCTTCTCTTCTTGCTTCTGTGTTTCTGATGCTTGGGCTTTGGATCGTCAGCATCCCACTAGCATGGTACCTTTCACAGGTTTTTATTTGTTCCTTCTTTTTTTCCATTGTTTTGTGTTTTATAAGTTGGTTATTTTGCTCTAGGCTCTTGCTGGAAGAACAAACGGAAGAAGAAGTTGGAGGTTTCCTTTTCAAAGGGGATACTGGGGATACACTGCGGCTGCTGGATTATACACTCGAGGTGACACATTTGCTGAAGAGAGGCAAAAGTCGCAGCAAGAAAACTCTTTGCGAATCCTAAAAATGTCAAAGAGCTACAAACGTGGAACTGCTCTACGCGAAGTCTCGGTGACAATGAACAACGGAGAAGTTTTTGTTCTCCTTGGCCACAATGGTACGCACTTTAATATGGATAATTAATTCTCACTGACTTTCCATAATTCTTGTAGGTGCTGGAAAGTCGACTCTGATTAACGTTTTAACTGGCTTGACGGATGCAACTTATGGAGAAGCTTATTTCAGAGGCTGCAGTTTCTCAACAGACATGGCACAGATTCAAGCAGTGTGTGGAATTTGTCCTCAGTTTGACGCTCTTTGGGATGAGCTAAACGCGGAAGAGCACTTGTACGTGTGTGCTGCCATGCAGGTATATAATGTTTTCATTGCCAAGATGAAACTTTCACTCTTTGCTTTTCATATTTTGTACAGGGTCTTCATGGGAAGTACGCTGCCGAAGAAATCAAGCGTGTTCTTGCAGCAGTGGATCTTTCAGAGGAGGGTAAAAACATGACAACGACCTTCTCTGGAGGCATGAAGCGAAGGCTATCAGTTTGCATGGCCGTGCTGGGTGACCGTCGTAAACTTATCTTCCTGGACGAGGTAAAAGCTTAAGTTTTTTTGCGTTGAAGTAGACAGGATTGATGATTTCCATTGCAGCCAACCACAGGCGTTGATACAATAAACAAGAAGCGAATCTGGGAGCTCATTGAGAAGGTCAAAGAAGAAAAGATAGTGGTTTTAACAACACACAACATGGAGGAGGCCGACGCTCTTGGAGATAAAATCGCAATTTTGCACCAAGGAACTCTAAAAGCCGTTGGTTCATCTCTATTCTTGAAGGTCAGTGTGTTTTTCTTGATCCAGGCAATGCTGGTTCCTTATTTATCTTACTACTTTCCAGAAAGAGTTTGGTTCTGGTTATCAGATCTCTTTGCTTCTAGCCTCTCCCGAAGACGCGCCGGAAGTCGAGGCTATTGTCAAACGCGTTCTTCCGGGATCAAAAATTGTCCAGTCCGCGGCTGGAAACTTGAAGGTTTCACTTAACCACAACACAGCACTAGCCATTCCAAAACTTTTAACCGAGCTCAGAGTGAGGCTACCCGGGAGAGAGAAAAGCGAGCCTCCGACTTCGTCCAAATATCTCAAAGAATGGGGTATCTCCAACACAACTCTGGAAGAAGTTTTTCTCCGGCTCAGCGCTCGAAATGACCACCAAGTGACTGAAGAGAACGAGAACGAGAGTCCCGATGTTGAGAAGCTGTGCCTTATGTGTGGGGTGAAAAGAGTCGACGTTGTTACTCTCTACACGCGCTCTGGGATTTCCGTCAAGGTACCAAATGCGGTGTGCTTAACGTGTGCTTTGGCAGAGCAAGCTCCAGTTATGATGGACTCCATCGCAGAAGATGAGAACCACGAAAGCCAACCTTTAAACGAAAGTTACGAAGAGCTCACCGAGAGTTTTGGTCCGCCTCCAAACACTCAAGTCCGTGGTGAGAATCACGTAAACAATGGGGAAAATCAAAACGATCCAGCTCCAACGACGGTTACGAGCAACGCTGGGTTATTCCGATCGCAGATACGCGCGGTGTTATACAAAAACTTTCAGCTCAACTTGGCACAGAAGAAGGCCTTCGCTTTCTACTTTCTTACGTTCGTGGTATACGTGCTACTCATGAAGTTTTTCGGAGGATCGATCTCCGGGACACGCCAGAGTTTCTCCGAGAACGTCTGTCCGGGAAGGAGCGATCTGGTTGACAGTGGCTACTGCAGCGCTCAAAACTTTGAAGCTGGTTTCTTCCACATTGATCTATCGTGGACTGCTCTCTCCTCAGCTCTCGCTCCAATGCTTCTCAACTCGACTTTAGATCCAAGCTCGAGGGTGGCAGTGACACCGGTGGTATGGTACTCTTCCCAAGGAGACCTCGATCTCAATTATACTTTCACTGGCAGCAACAAGTCTACGGTGGTGGCGCTCAAACAAATTCAGAATCCAGATCCTAATGCTCTGTTCGTATCCGGGCAGCAAGATCTCCAGAGAAAATCTGTCCGAGTCAGAGTTCCGTTCTGCTCATCCAACGCTCGAGCCAGTGACGGCGATCGAGTTTATATTGAAGACCTCTCCACGGCCACCGCAACTTATGATGCTTTGTTCCCGACTTCCGGCCTGGCCTGGTCGACTTACTCGTCGGGAGGTTCTAGCGATCGTCATGTCGCAGCTACTGTGAGATACAAATCCAGGTTCCACTCGTACGACGCAACAAGGATTTGGATACGCATGAGAAACGTAACGTCTGGTTTGTGTGGCTTCTCCGGCAGCAGCAGCACTTATAAAGATCTCGCTCAGCTCTACACCGATCCACCCTCGACCTCCTCCTACATGGTCGCCTCAGTAGCTCCCTTCCTCGCGATGAACGCTATAAGCAACGGGCTAGCTTCCACGGCTGACAGCAATGCTCCAGCGATCACGGCCAGGCTTAGAGTTTATCCGGATCTCGAGTTCGCAGGCAACCGACAGGACGATGGTGTTTACAACCCGGCGACGCTCCTCTTCGCCATCATGGGACTGTCAACGTTCTTCCCTCTCTACGTCCGGAGGCTCGTCATGGAGCGTCAAACTGGACTCCTCCACTTGATGGTGATCGCTGGGATGAAACCATCGGCGTACTGGCTTGGAAACTATCTCTACGACTTCATCCTCTCAGTGATCGATGGGGTGGTGTTCTTCGTAATTGGAAGACTGGTCGGAAGTAGCTTCGTCCACGCCGATCCGCTCATGTCCGCTTTGATCATCTTGGCTTGGGCTCACGCTCTCAATGGCATGTCAACTTTCACGGCCGGGTTTTTCAGCAGCGTTCGAGCCGCGTCGTTCGTTGCCATCGGGATCATCATCACTGCTGCTGGCTGCGTCTTCGTCAATCTGAAGTACAAGGATCAAAGTTCCATGCCTGCTGGAGCCGCCATCTTTCCACCCCTGGCTTTGGCTCGAGTTCTCTATCTTCTCTTTGCTGGAGTGAGGCAAGGCGAGCTTATTACGGATATTGTGGTACTTCTCCTTGGCAGCACGCTGTTATACGTCGCTGGAGTGCTCGTCAACCAGGCTAGAGCGTCGCTCAATCCCTTCGGGTGCTTCTCTAGATTGTTCACGAGGGAAAATAAGTTTTTGGACGAGGAAGCAAAACAAGATGGGACATCCGACTCCGAAGACATTGCTATGGAGGTGGACAAAGTTCGAAACGCTCAGCCTGGAGTACTGGCGATCAAGACACAAAACTTGAGGAAGATTTATCCGGCCTCGAGCGGGAAGGGAGCCAAAGTAGCAGTGGACAATCTCACGCTCGGCTTGCAGTATGGTGAGATCTTTGGACTCCTAGGAGCAAATGGAGCAGGGAAAACTACAGCACTCTCGATGCTATCCGGCTCTCTCGCACCCTCGGCAGGAACTATAGAGATTGGAGGAAAAGTAATTACCGGGAAGAACGAGCTCTCTCCCAACCAGCTGAGCATCTGTCCTCAATCGGATGTCGTATGGAAGGATCTCTCGGTAAGAGAAAGCTTTCTCTTTTCCTCTTCAGTTTTAGCTTTGTCTATTTTTCCAGGTGTGGTCGCACTTCATGATATACGCTTATATCAAAGGCTTGAGTTCCGCGCAAGCTCGAGCTTCCATTCAGACAATCGCTGGCGAGCTTTCACTCAATGGCGACTCGTTTCACAAGAAAGCGTCTAGCTTATCTGGAGGTCAACTGCGTCGGCTCTCTTTCGGTGTTAGCCTCGTTGGGAGTCCCTCGATTCTACTCATGGACGAAATAACAACCGGTAAATCATCCTCTCAAAGCTTTCACTAATGCTTCAGCTTTCTTTTCCAGGCCTTGATCCTGTAAGTAGAACAACGATCTGGGATGTTGTAAACAAGCAATCCAATGCTGGACGCTTGATTCTACTCACAACACATTCCATGGTAATCAAGCAAACTTTCCAGCTCTCGATGGACTCTCAAAAACTTTCTCTTATGCAGGAAGAGGCTGATACTCTTTGCACCAGGATTGGTATCATGGCTCATGGGAAAATGAAGTGCCTTGGAGCTCCACTTCATCTCAAGAATCGTTACAGTAATGGCTACACTCTCACTGTTGTGACGCAGAAAGACGACCACGAGAGCTCCGAGACAATTGCTTCGCTGATCAAAAGAGCTGCTCCAGATGCCACTCTTGTCTACTCGTAAGTGTTGGTGCTTTTCTTTTTCTTTGGTTCTAACTTCCATCGTTCTATAGATGGCGCCGAGTTCGCAAGTTTTCCATCAAGATCTTCGATCTAAAGTATCTGTTCCAGTTGCTAGAAGACGATGCGAACAAACTCGAGCACGGGATTCGAGAGTGGCAGATCGAGCAAACGACACTTCAAGACGTTTTTCTGAAAGTTTCCGAGCACGAGTGAGCTTGCATATCTGCTATATTATAGAAGAAGAGCCCGAGACCAGGCTTCATTGTTTACAGTCTCGTTGTTTCTCTCGCAAACGAGTAGTTCGTCCCTGTTAGCTATACGTTTTGGACAGCTCCGACGAGCTCGGCCGGAACAAGAACTTCGCAAAGCTGTAAAGTGTCAGCACAACGCTCTGTGTCCACCAGAGGAAGAGCAGAAAAAGAGCAATCCCCACCACTCCGATGGAGAAGCACGAGAACACCACAAACCCGAGAAGTGCCGTCCACCACGAGAAGCAGAGATGGAGGATGGAGATCGGTAGAAAGACGAGTAAGACGACGCTGGCGGCGATTAGCTTCCCGAGCTCCCAGAGCTTGCGCTCCAAAACACCAGGAACGTTAGCACCTGGAATGGATGGATGAAACAATGGAAGTTAGATCCTAGAACCGAAAGAATCACACAAAAACAAGCGTACCTCTAAGCTGGAACAGGTTGGTCGGTGACTGCAAGAGTAGTGAGAAAATCCTTCCAGTTCTTCCTGGCGATGACGATGGCGGCGAGATTAAAGTCGACGTTGTTGGTTGTGTCGAGAGTGATCCTCCCAGAGCGTGGAGAAGGATGTAGTTCTTTGGAAAGTGGTGGATTCCTCGCCACTTGGACAGCGCTCGGCATTCCGGGCATCGAAACCTCGGCAGCGAGGAGCTGACGACGAGGCGCTCCACACACAACTGGCAAACGGTGTGTCCACAGCACAAGAGCCTGGGCGTGTGTGATCCATCGTTGAAGAACTCCAGGCAAACCGGGCACTCTAGAGGGCCTAGCATGGTTCTCCTCTCAGCATGTTGGATTTCAACTGGATTGAAGCAAAGAGAGAACGATCGCTCGATTGGAAGAGCCCTAGGCTGCTTGTTTTACCTCGATCAATACCGGATCCTCAGCCACAATGCGGTGCCCCATTCTCGGAGGCGCATCATTTCTCTCGCGCATGGATCGGATCAGATCAAAACGCTCCCCGCCAAATTAGGGCTCATCAAGATGCTCAGCGAATATACCTCATTTTGATCTTGAACAAACGCCGACCGTCGGATGCAAATCTTGGAAAACAAATCCTGGCCGTTGAGATTCTTTAAGGAATGCAAAACAAATGATTAAGTACTGGAAAATTGGGTCCTTTGCGACTTCTCCACCATTTCTTTCACGCTCACGTCGAAAGCGTCGTCCTCCCCATCGAGAGAATCCCGACCACCATCGCCAGAGCTCCATGGCTTCCCAGTATAGAGCAGCCGCGGGATGATCTTCCGGATGTTCCTCTGGAGCTCTCCAATCCTCTGGCTGCTAAACTTGCTCCTCAGAAACTCCTCCACCTCCAGCCCATCCCGACGGATGTCTTCCTCGGGGATGAACACCGAGTAGCTCTCGCGCTCGCGAGGGAGATGCCAAGTATACTGTGTGTAGGCCGAGTCGGCGTGGAAGAAGACGGGAATGCAGCCGCAAACCAGCGAGTCGAAGCTCGACCTGCGAGTGGAAGTGTCTCCCTGCGGCTGGAGGCAAAAGATCGAGGACAGCAGCTTCTCGGCGATCGGGAGGGGATTGTGAGCACACCTCAGCTTCGAGCAATTCACGGCCTCGCAGCTCCGGGACTTGCGACACTGCTCAAACAGGATCCCCCGGATGCTCTCGTTTTGCTGAGGCCGCGGAGCTCCGGCGAAGGACATGAAGTTGGCTCTCGGGCTTGCCTTGACTCTCTCGATCCATGCCTGTAGCTCCGACTTGGTCGCCGGGTGAAAGGAAGTTGGATACGGTATTGCCTGCTCTGTCCGATCCCAGGGACGTCGTTCCATCACCAAAGTCGTCACGTTTTCCATCTGCTTGAGCAGCCGAAGACTAGTCCCCCACGAGCTTCCAGACTTTCCGCGGTAGCTAGCAAAGTCCCAAGCTGTTCTTCCTGTTACCATGAAGTGGTCGTGGCCGAGATTTCTTGTCCAGCTCCAGCTATAGTTTGCCTCCAGAAACTCGACGAGATCGACCCCTTGCTCGTGCCTGTTCAAGTTGTCCGCCCCGTAAAGGAACCTGAGAGCGTCCAGTCCTGCGTAGTAAGGGATGAAGAACGCATCGGCCTCACGGGGAGAATTCACAAGGCACCTGTACCTGTGCATCCTCTCGTGGAAGATCACCTCCAGCATGTAAGGATCGGTGGCGTACCACGAAGAATTTGCTCCAGCCAGCGCCTTCCCGAAGCCATGGTTGATGAAGTGGTCGCAGAACGTAAGCCAGGAGACCATCTTGTCGCATTTTTCCAGGACTTCCAAGTTGAATCTGCGAGGAAGCTCGTACATGAACACCCGCCTCCCCTCACACGAGTCCAAGTCCTGGCCATCTGGAAATTCTTGATGATCGCCCCGGTTAAAAGGATGCCGTGCTCTGTCCCTGTCTGTGACGAGAAAAGCACTGGAACTCTTGTGTCGCTCCGGAAACGTGAGAAACTTGATCGGGTGGAGTCTGTAGGAGGAAGAGAATGCCCAGTAAGTCCCAAAGCTCGCGGACATACAGAAAAAAATGCAGCAAGAAAGGAGCAACGATGCACCTCCTTCCGACGATAGCAAGAATTTGCGAGACGACGAGCTGCTAAATTTCACTCGAAGAGCCATCATTCACCGTATTGAACCCGACTTTTCAAGAATTCTCGCTCCGTCGTTCACGCTTCTGAATTCAGTGCTTTCCTCCTTTCAGGACTGCTCGCAAGCCATTCTCCAGAGTGGTCCCAGTCTCGATCCCTATCAGAGTAAAAACACGCCAGCGAATCAGTCAAGACACGGCAAATATGTAAGCAAAACTATTTAAAACTCGTGTCAAGACCAACCTCACTCGAACTTACATACCAGCCATGGGTACCTTCTTCCATATTTTAGTCAATCATCGCCGGTGTGTGAACCCCTTGATCACTCCAAAGACAAAGAGACATGGTTTGCTGTCAGATACTGCGCATTTGTCTTGCAGTCGTCCTCGTTCTGTTTCACCATTTAGGCCAACGTAGAACCTGTTCATTCTGTTTTATCATTCAGGCCAACATAGAACCTGTTCATATGCAAACATGAAAGTAGCACTGATTAGAATTAAGCAGCACGGACTTACCGCCCAGCTTCATCTCGATCTTTTCTAGAAAAGCTGGTAAAGAGTTACCATTACCCCTGGAATTTTCCACAATAGGATTCTTGTCTGGCTCTCTCTTAGCCATGTTATAGCACACTGCTCGTAAAAAAGACCCTCCCGGTGTTGAAGGTGGAGACAAATCAGAATGTACAAGACTACAAAACGCACCTTCATATTCACTTGATGAAACAAAAAATGAACAACAAAGACCTCAAGCTTCTGGTTGCATTTTCTCGGACTCTTCTCTGATAGATTGAAACAGAACGGACGATAAGTAGCGCTCGCCGAAGCTAGGAAGAACCACCTGCAGCAAATAAGCTCATCAGATCTTGCCATGACTAAGGTGGAACACACTATCGCACTTACACAGATCAGCTTGTTTGCATTCTCTGGTCGCTTTGCCACCTGAATGGCGGCACACACAGCAGCTCCTGACGAGATTCCCACCTGGTGCCCTTACAGATTAGAGCTTTGCAATCGCATTTTGTAAGAATTAGTACCAGCAGGCCTTCCTTCAACGCCAGCTGCTTTGCCATTTCCACAGAATCGTTACTTGAAACCTACAAAGCATCACCAAAACTATCGTGTTTTGAAGCTTTGCATTTAAAAGTACCTGAATGACTTCGTCAAGGATTTCTACGTCTAGAATGCTTGGAATGAATCCCGCCCCAATACCCTGAATCTTATGCGGACCTGACAAGACCACCACTTTCTGTGAGCAATTCAACGTAAGACAATACCTGGCTTTCCGCCCGAGAGCACGTTACTCTCTGTGGGCTCAACACCGTAAATCTGTAAAAGACAACTGTAAGCTGGAAAAGCAGACCAGCCAGAACCACCAATACCTTGATGTTCGGATTTTTCTTTTTGAGGAAGCGTCCAGCACCAGTCACGGTACCGCCAGTTCCTATTCCAGCCACAAGAATGTCAACTTTGCCTCGTGTGTCTTCCCAGATTTCAGGTCCAGTGGTTTCAAAATGCACCTGAAACGAAAAGGAGTGTTAAACTCGGATAAAGAGATAACTAACGCACCTTGGGATTTGCGGGGTTTTCAAATTGCTGGAGCATGTAAGAATTTGGAGTCTTCTTCAATATCTCCTCGGCTTTTTGTACTGCTCCTTTCATGCCTTTCGCGGGATCGGTGAGGACAAGCTCGGCACCAAAGGCCTTTAGTAGAATGCGCCTCTCGAGACTCATGGATGCAGGCATTGTTAGGATCAGCTTATAGTTTTTCGCCGCGGCAATGAAGGCCAGTCCGATTCCAGTATTACCACTCGTAGGTTCAACCAGAACACTCTGCATGGCACAGAGGGTCATGAGTAGAGCACGCGAAAAAAGCAGCAAGGCTTACCTTGCCAGGAGTTATGGCCCCCTTCTCCTCAGCATCAGAGATCATGCTATATCCGATCCTGAAAGTAGCAAAACAAAGTAAGCGATCGGTTTCTTTCATCAAAAGCCATACCGATCTTTGACGCTGCAGCACGGCTCCATGATTTCCAGCTTCGCAGCGATGTTGGCAACACAGCCATCGACAACGCTGTTCAAATAAACCATCGGCGTCTTTCCGATAAGCTACAAAGACAAACCCCCAAGTAACAAAAAAATCCTTCTTTCCTCCTTTTTCCAGCGAAACTCTTACCTGCGTCACATCTTCCGCGATGTTGAGCCCCTCTTCTGGCTCGGCACCGGCGGCCTCAGCTTGCACCTCAGTCGAAACAGCCGCAATCGCATGTCTTGCCCTGGGCGACGCCACAATCTTCCCCCGCTGGAGCCTCAAAGCCGACGAGATGATCCGGCGCTGCATCGCCACTGCCGAATCCCTCCTCCCGCAGCCGGCATTTCCCAGGACGAGACTGATTCCTCCCGCGGCGGCAGCAGCAGCGGTCGCCATTTCCTCGCTACTAGACGATAAACCCTAAACCTGATCGCAATGGGAGAAAGATGCCGCATATTCTCTAAAGATTCGAACTCCTTTCACACATGGACAATTTTTTAGGGCTCCTTGAGGCGCTTGAGCATCCGCGACGCGAATTTCCGGACGCGCTTGTTTAGATTGAAGCCCACGATCACGCCAATCCCGAAGCTGACCACCGCGATCTTGACGCACGCCGATGCCGACACAAGGAATCTACTGCTCGCCCTGTGTCAAGCGATCATCTCATCATCGTTCACAAGAATCACGCGCAAGTTTGCTCTTTCTTTACCTCGCGGCTTCGTGGAGATGGTGGTGCCCGGCGTGATGCTCCACGAGTACCATTGTGGGAGGATGCGTCGTTTCGCCCATCGCCGCCGCGCACCCTAGAGCTTGCTCACACAGAGGGTTTTAACAAGGGTTTTAGAACAACACAACAGGCTTATAGAATGCTTCGATTGATTGAATTTTCCCTTCGACAGAGAAGTTTCCTTCTACATTGGTAGTCTCTCTATTTGATCTTCTTCTTGGGACGCAGCTGCGATCAAACAAAGAAACACCAAAATCTCAGCTACAAGAACATACAAAGAAGGGAATCCTCGCAAAAAAAACGTTTTACCTGGTTGGAGTGGCCACATTTCTTCTTCCGGCAGTTCACAGCGCGAGGATGAAGCCTTGCATAGCACCTGCGAAGAAAGAAATCAGGAACTCCACGCGCTTGGAAATCGAAGAAAAATCACTTACTTTCGGCAGATCATCTTCTCCTGGTTATACTTCCTCGCCAGAGCCATCAACGAAGGCTCGATGATTCCTCCGCGGAGGCGAAGCACGAGATGGAGCGTAGACTCTGGCAAAAAAACGCAAACTCAGCGAGAAAGAAAAGCCCCAAAACACGCTTTCTACCCTTTTGGATGTTGTAATCCGCGAGCGTGCGGCCATCTTCCAGCTGCTTGCCGGCGAAAATGAGCCGCTGCTGATCCGGAGGAATGCCTGGAAATGAAGAGAAAGCCGCCCATCAAAATCCAATCTCCCAAGAAACCCACAAACACAAGCGCACCTTCCTTGTCCTGGATCTTCGTCTTGACATTGTCGATAGTATCGCTGCTCTCGACCTCGAGCGTGATGGTCTTGCCCGTGAGCGTCTTCACAAAGATCTGCATCTTGGCTGCTCCTCCGGCTCTGCAAAACCCTAATGCCTCCAAGAACCCTAAAACAAGTTAGACGGTGGAGATTTCATACACGTCGACAAGCCCTAAGTGCGGGTATTGTTTATAGTCTAACATAAGCCACGACAAACACCGAGAGAAGAATGCTTGTGTTTTGGTTCCTCCTGGGATTAACCGTGTTTTTTATTGCACTGGCTATCTTTCGCTGCATTTTCATGGAAAGTCTCTACCAATTTGTGAGATCATTCCCGCAGGAAACCCAAGATCGACTGGCCGAGTTCCAGGACGAATCCATCCTCCGGATCACAAAGGGCTTCACGTCAATCCACAGCCAGCAGCTGGGCAGCACGATCTACATAGGTGTTCTCGAGAGCGGGGAACAAGTCCTGGTCCATAAATGCTCTGGTAAAGGGGAATTCAAGCGCGCGTTTACAGAAGCTTGCAATTCGGGGCGTCTCCGCGGCTACTGCATTCGATACAGCGCGATCGTTCTTAGTTCACCGCAGCAGTGAAAGTTTTTCCAAGAGTGTTCTTGAGCGAAGCTTGTTCTTCTGATAAAGCGTGTTATTTCTAAGAAATATCCATTGTGTTTGCTTGTGAAAGTGGGCTCCTTTGCTAAAATTTGATGCTAGCAACCTTCTCTCCTATGGATATCCAGAGAGTATCGTGTCTTCAATCTCTCAGTCAATACTTTGTCCTTTGTATTTTGTTTGTTCCATCGCTTCCAATATACTATCAATGTAATGAGAAATCTCTCTCTGGCACGAGTTAGCAATAGTTCCCTTACGTATTTTAACGTAGACACCATTGCAAGCATGGAACTCCGGCCATCTCATGGAATCTAACAGCACAACCTCTCTCCCCGCCATTTAGAAACAGGTTACAAGCAGCAAAGTCAAATTTCTAGATTCCCTGTTCTTCGCCCAAACGGCGGCAACATTTAGTCACAAACTGTTTCTGGATCGACCAGAAATATAAAGAGCCAGAAGAGCTTCGAAGCATCCAGCAAAAGTTGCAAGAGCGCCCATGGCGTCGGAAGTAGTAATTATCGTCGGCATTTTGTTGTCAGCAATTGCGATCATGGCAGTCATCTGTCGGTGCATTTACTTTCGAAAGCTCACAAGCTTTGTGAGATCATTCCCGCAGCACAATCGGCTGGCGGAGTTCCAGGCCGAATCCATAGCCACAATCACGAAGGATTTCTCCTCCATCATCGCCCAGCACCTGGACAGCAGGATCTACGCGGGTGTTCTTGAGAGCGGCGATCAAGTCCTGGTTGAAAAGTTTTCTAGCACCAAGGAATTCAAGCTGGCATTCGCACAGGCCTTGGAAACGGGGCGTCTCCGTGGGTATTGCATCCAACACACTGCACTCGTCCTTCACGCATTGCGGTGAAAGTCTCTGTCGGATCTAAAAGCCCAAGATCAATGTGGGGCAAAACTCACTCGAGAAAAAGTATCAAACAAGAAGAAAATGTTCATGGAGTTTCCCGGGTTGATGAGAACTGACAATCCCATCAACCAGAATGGCCATGGTCGATCTAGCGCCAAAGCCATTAGATCACAGGGTATAGAGAGAGCCCCTGAAATTGGTAAATGGCGCACACTTCCCCTCTAGTCTAGCCGCCGCGGCTGCGCGAAACCCTTGCTAAGAACCCTAGAAAAGAAGAGAGGCGCATTGATTCTTAAAGCATCTAAGGTCCGACGTGGCAGATACCCTGCCACTTGGCATTTCCTTTATCGTCATCATCTCGTCCAAAACAAAGACTTCTCTCAAAGTTCCTGAAACAACGCACGGCCCACATCACGTAAGCTCGGACTTATCCTCGGAAAGAATATCAAAAGAATTAAAATCAAAGATGAGAGACAAAGAAATCAATGGGATCGGCGACTTACAGTATCCGCCCTGGATAAACGAGTTGAGCCGCTTGAGTTCTTCGCGGTGCTCGTCCACAACAGCGCGGACAACGTCACCGATCGATACCATTCCCAGCATTTTCTTGTCCTTGACAACGGGGATGTGCCTGATGCGCTTCTCTGGTAAACCAAGAAGAAAGAACATCAAAATGGCTCAAATGGAATCTAAGATGATGAAGTTACCAGTCATGAGCTCCATTGCCTGGAGAACTCGAGTGGAGGGTGTGACAGTAATGAGCTTGTTCTGAAAGAGAGCGAATTTTACGTGAGTTATTGCGAGTCTGCGATAGATACCCACCTCTTCAGTCATGATATCCCCAACTTTGGTTGTTTTGGAAGAACGCCCCTGGACTATGATCTTCCGGAGATAGTCTGAGGAAAAAAGAGAAAAAAGTCCGTGACTAAACTTTGCCGCTTTCATGAGAAACTACTGACCTCTCTCGGTGATAATTCCAGCGATGGCTCCCTTCTCGCCCTTCTTGACCACCAAGAGCGCTCCCACATTGTGAGTTGTCATCTATGAAGTAACATCATAGTGTGTTTTAGAAATCGAGAGAAAGAAAGCCCCAAAAGAAAAAACTACTCAACAGATCTCACGGCCTCGTACACAGTGTCGTCGGTGGAACAAAAGAGCCACGATCCATCGGCGCTCTTCCCCTTTCCTTTCAAGATATCTTCGATGGTCGTGCTCTCGAAGCCATGCTCTTCCAAGCTTGACGGCTTGGCGACAGAGGATTCCCAGCGAGGGAGCTGGAACCGATCATTCGTGGCCGCCACGCGAAGATGCTTGAGAATCCCTTGCTGCGCGACCCTCCCCTGGGCACGAAGAGCTCCCGCGACGCTCTGCATTCTACATCCATGAGAAGATTATAGCTCATTTCCACGAGAAAATTTCATGCTCCATTCGTGCGATGCGGCTAGAATCTCATCTCTCGTGCATCTCTCAGCGATTCAAGGGAGAAATCACAAGAATCTGGCATCAAGAAGAGGGATTAGACCTCGATCGAGAGATTTCTTGCCCTGGAAACGATCTTGCTAGTCGCCGAGCCCTAGCTAACACGAAGAATTCCTTCAAATGGATTAAGTAGATAGCTCTTACAAAATGCCTCCCGATTGTCAGGATCGCAACACGTGTGACTGTGATAACCGTCGGATATGTGCCTTAACATTTCGACGCGTGTCCGTCTGTATGGCGTGCTTTCTTTTTGACATTGCTTTGGGCGCGAGAGTTTTAGGGCGAAGCACAGCTAGGGCTCCCGGAGGAGCGAGGATTCGCCGGCAGCGAAGCTCCATGACGAGAGAGGATTTTCCAATCCACGAAGGCCTCAAATCTGTGAGTATCAGCGACGCATTCACGACAAGCAGCGAGGATGAGCGAGCTCCTGAGCAGAGCTGTGATGAAATCTCCAAGCCAGATGTGGAGCAGAAGCTGAGAGGGATTTTGAGCAATGCCGGTGTTAGCTCGTTTCACTTCAAGCGAGTCCCTGCGGATTACTATGAGAAAACGCTCGAAGAGAGGAAGGAGGTGCTTGGAGCGGTTTCGATCGATCATCTTTGCAAGAGTATGGTGATGGTATGTGCCGATGGCGGCATTTTCTATTTGTTCTTTGATCCATTTTCCATTGCATGCGCAGGTAAACACCCAGGCTCCATCACACATCACGGATTGTAGCGATCGGAAAAATTCTAAATACTACGTCATAGTTGTCCAGGTAGCACCCTTTCTACCTATTGAAGTTTTTCTCTTCAACTTTTCAATCTTGCAGTACAATGCTCGTCTGAATGCCGAGAAAGTGAAGAAGTTTATCTACGATCTCAACGAAGGAAAAATACCAAAGAAGAGATTCAACTGTAAGCTTTTTCTCGTATGAAAATCCGTGTACGATTGGAACTGGTTTTCTTTGTTTTTCAGTGCGGCTTGCACCAGAGGAAGAGTCTCAGAGATTGTCAGGATACGAGCACAATGCTGTTACACCGATTGGGATGCGAACAGACATTCCTGTAAGTTTTCCAAAGCATGCTTCGGGTTCTCACAAATTTTATCTCACAGGTGATTTTGTCCGATGCGATTGCCAATCTAAAACCCGATTTCTTTTGGCTGGGTGGTGGCGATGTTGATCTTAAGCTTGGCATCAACACTCAAGAGTTTATCGCCTTGACTAACCCCTTCGTGATCGATTGCACTTATTCTGAAGGCTGATTTTTTTTGGTCGCCCCGATTTTGGAAAAGAGAACGTATCCTTTATTCGAACCTCAGTTCTTACGTTATTCCACAGAATTGGAACAAATCTCAAGACACGTTTCATTCTCATCCTGTTTGAATTCTTGTCAAAAAGACATCAATTCAGTTGGTGAAGCCAAATTGTATCTAATTATTTGTAACTTTTCGGACTGTCGGAATCTCCTCCTTTCAGACGGAGACATCAGTGAGGGTAAGTTATGCAAATGGATCAATCAGAACTAGATGATGTTGCAGCAGCCTATGCAGTCAGTGCCAAGAGATATCAACAAATACCTACTGATGTGAATAGAAACTGGTATAAACGAGACTAACTACCTGAGCCAAAGCTCTCGCCATATTGACCTTTCGAATAAAATGCCTTGCTGAATTGTTTTTGCTCATGTGGATGCTTGAAGATTGCCATTTATACTATACGGCAGGAGGCAAGTGTACGGAACAAAGTTGCTTACGCAATTGCAACTTCTGTGGAAATTGCTGGCGTTACCCTTTTGTCTCATGAGTATAAATTTTTAGAAAGACGAGCTTTTACTTGGGCTAGATTTGGAGTCGATGTATGACTCCATGTAGAGATACATCTAGAGTTGGAAAACAATAATAATAATAATAAGTGTTCTTGGAGGCATTTTAATTATTAACTAGCCTTTGCAAGATTACGGCTCCCTACTAGACATTTGAAAAAAATTGCTGTCAAGAGAGCTCTTCCTTGTTTTTCATCTCGTCCAATTGTGGATTATTGCAAAATTCACTGTTCTACGCTGTTATTTTATCTTTTAACAGAAAATGTAAGTTAATTATGATGAACAATTCATAACTTTGAGTGAAATTTAAAGTTGGGAATGGAGGTAAAGCCCTAGGCTAGGACTTGTCCACGCGATGACGGCATTCTTGCGCCCCGGGGCGAGTAGCGGCTGGAGCATCGGGTCCGGATTTGGGGCGCCATCGCGAAATTCCAGCTCCGGCGTCTCCATGCGCGCCACGAATCGGGTATGTTCTTGGATTTGCAGCGATGTGTGGAGCGATTCTCTTCTGTCTTTCCAGCCCGACGAGGATTCTGCCAAGGAGAAGGCGGTCTTTGCTCCGCCAAGCACCATGCCTGAGACCCCGGCAGAGTGGAAAGGGTGGGAGGAGAAGCGAATCCAGGAAGAGATTATTTCCAAGCAGGGTATTTCGATTCGTCGGCGGCCCCCGACTGGACCTCCGACTCACGCTTGCGGGCCGTTTGATTTTAAACTCCAGAACGAAGGAAATACTCCTCGAAACATCCTCGAAGAGATTGTGTGGAACACAGAGCGAGAGGTCACAGAGGTATTACATTCTCTGATACTCTTGCTATTCTTTTTCTTTCAATGGTCGTTTTCTCTTTACTGGATGTAGATGAAGGAGAAGACGCCGTTGAGTGCTTTGCATAAAGCTTTACCAGCTGTTGATCCTCCGCGGGACTTTATAGGTGCTCTAAAGGCGAGGAAGGCTGAGACGGGATTGCCAGGACTTATTGCCGAAGTGAAGAAGGCATCCCCGAGCAAAGGAGTCATCCAGCCCGACTTTGATCCGGTAAGGTTGCGGAGTTGTGAGCAAGCGTGTGTGATAGATGGTTTCCAGTTTTGTGTCGCAGGTGCGTATTGCAAGAGGATATGAGAGAGGTGGAGCGGCATGTCTCAGCGTTTTGACGGACACCAAATATTTCCAGGCAAGTTCTTAGACGTGGTTTTGTTTGTCTCTCAAAACTATGGTTTTTCAGGGGAGCTTTGAGAACTTGAAGGCCATTCGTGAAGCCGGGGTTCAGGTATCAAACGAGCTTGACTTTTCCAGTTGACATGTATGATGTGCTGTTGCAGTGCCCGTTGCTGTGCAAGGAATTCATTATTGATGCCTGGCAACTCTACTATGCTCGAATTAAAGGTGCTGATGCCGTTCTTTTGATTGCTGCTGTGCTTCCGGATCAAGATCTTTTATACATGACAAAAATTACGAAAGCTCTCAAGATGGCTGCACTTGTTGAGGTATAAGCACTCTTATCCTTTACATGATTCTCATATGGATTATATGGATTGTACATTTCAGGTTCACAATGCAGTGGAAATGGATCGTGTGCTACGTCTTCCAGGAATACAAATGATTGGGATAAACAACAGGAACTTAGGTGAGTCGGGTTCAATGTTCTATTCGAAACTTAATGGAGTTCGCGTAGAAAATTTCGAGGTTGACATCACGAACACTGAGAGTTTGCTACAAGGAGTGAGGAGCGGAATCATTCGGGAGAAAGAGATTCTTGTATGTTTTATTCTCGTGCTTGAGTTTATTCTAATGATCGTTTGGGCAGGTTGTTGCTGAGTCCGGACTCTCCACACCGGACGACATAGCGCTTGTTCAAAATGCTGGAGTTAGTGCGGTAAGTGCTGCAGAGGTAGTTTCGTGAAGTTTTATGCAATGTAAACAAATTCGCAGGTACTCGTCGGAGAGTCGCTGGTGAAGCAAGACGATCCGGCAGCTGGTATTGCAAGCCTTTTTGGAAAGGATATCAGTAGAGCAGCTCAGAAGAATGAAACAATCTTCGCATAATAAGCAAACGATCGGAAGTTTGGTACGATTTTCCGCTTTAGGGTTTATGCTCTGCTCGAGATGGTGAGCAAGAGGCAGAGGCTTGCAAAGAAGCGCTTTCATGGCGATTCCGATGAAGCCCAAGTTTCAGAGGAGGAACCCAAGAAGGTGGTGCCAGTCGCAGCAACGTCCAAACAGCAGCTCAAGAAGAAACCAAAGAAGTTGAAGACGCATCCTCTTCGAGTTCCTGGAATGAAGCCTGGGGAAGGATGTTACATTTGCAAGGGAAAGGACCACATTGCGAAGACGTGTCCGAAGAAAACAGAGTCTGAAAGCAAGAAGGTAAGCAAATTGTTTCAGTTCATGTCACAAAAATTCGATTTTTCAGGTGTGTCTTCTATGCCGAGAGCGTGGGCACACTCTCAAGCATTGCCCAGCTGGAGATGTCAAGGACAAGGAAGCTAAGTTTTGCTATAACTGTGGTGAAACAGGACACAGATTAGCTCATTGTTCGCAACCTCTCAAGGAAGGTAAACAAGTCCTACCTAGTTTTGAACGAAAAATGATACAAATGTATTTTCTTTATGTTTCCCAGGGGGTACTTCGTTCGCAGATTGTTTCCTCTGCAAGAAGAAGGGTCACATAAGCAAGAATTGTCCAAGCAACACTCGTGGAATCTATCCAAAGGTACGTGAATGCTGCTTAAGTTCGGGACAGACTTCACTGGGACTGTTCCAGGGTGGATGCTGCAAGTTATGCGGCGAGGTCACTCATCTAGCCAGGGATTGCCCGACGAAAACCAAGGCACAGAAGCCTAGATTAAAAATAAGTAAGTACTGCGTGCAGTTTAGATCCAATCCAAACTCACCTTTTACGACTTTGCAGGCAAGGATGTGGCCCAAAGCGGCGAGAAGCGTATTGTTTTTAAAAGCGGCGATGATCTCGAGGACGACTTTGGAGAACTAGAAGCATAGTGTAAGCGTTCGTTCTTAAATATCTAACAAGCTCCCAGATTACTAACTGGGAACTCTTCACATCCCGTGCTAAGCGCCCTCAACTGCACACACATGTGAACGTGAAAAAGCAGCACCCTCGAATGGAGGTTCGATTTTCGAGAGGGTTCTCCTGTTCCATGAAGCGAGCAGCGTGTCCCTTCTTCATGCCGTACCGGGTGCTCAAGACGAACGAGCTGCCCCTGCGGAGATCGGCCAAAGTCTTTCCAGTTGCCTCCAAGGCGTCTGCGTACTGGAAAAGCCCGCGATCATCTAAGAAAGCTCTCAGCTCCAAGGCATTCTGCAACGACATCGTGAATTGGGTAGGCCAAGTTGATGCTTTGTACTTACTTGCTGCTGTTTAGTGAGACCGAGAGATTTCATATCGTTCTTGGTCATGGACTTGAGCGAGTGGACGTCGTCGTAGCCATTTGTGGTGAAGACCTTACTGCTTCCCGCGAGAACACCGTTGCCAAGGTACTCCTCGAGAGTCTGCATTTCGTGCTTATCCGTGAACCTCCTGACTCGTTTTTAAACTCTAATCTGACGCCTTGCAACAGTGTTTCATACTCTTCAAAGTCGCTTGTAGTGCTTAGCTCACCTTGAGATTTCTTAAAGGTATTTGCGAGAACGATTCTAAGCAGCTGTATCGGGATGATCTCAGCTGCAAACAGGTAACATTAATATTGTTGTCAACCTTGGACTTACTTGCTCGTTATCCCTCTTGATCCTCGATTTGAGAGATTGGATGTCTTCGTAGCCTTCTCAAAATCCTTCACTTTGGAATGCAAGTAAGCCGAATAAACTCGTTCCTTTTTTATTTTAAACAGGCCAAGGTGAAAGCTAGTGACAGGATTTTCCACAGAGTGGCACAAACTTGGTTACATTGACGCAGCCCTTCTGGAGCTCTTGGCTGCACAGGCATGGCAGAGGAAATCGCAAGAGGCTCGAGCAGCACTCGTTCAACACGCCGCTCCTCAAGCTCCCGAAAACCTCTCGCTGGTTTTGGGACGAAAGCGAGCGCAGTGCCTTGACAATCCTCTTGGAGCATCCAGAAGCCTCGGCCGAGACACTCTTACCATCACACATTGTGGAGCGATCATCACGGGCATACCCATAGCTTACCAGCGCCGCAGCCACCACCACCACCACCACCACCGTCCTCAACATCATCATCATTATCTCTCTCTCTCTCTCTCTCTCTCTTACTCACTCAGTTTGAGCATCCACATTTTTTTCTTCCTTTCCTATTGTTCCTGCCAGAACACTTGGCGCGCACTCTCTGAGCATTCACATTTTTTCTTCCTTTTCTATTGTTCCACCCAGGAATTGGCGAACACTTGGAGCGCTCTGCGTGACACATGTCCGAGAAGAGAGATAAGCTTCTCCCCTCTTTTCTCATTTCTTCTTTCACTTGTTGGCATCGCATCGCAGTGCCTAGAGTTTGGAGATGAAGAGTGTGTTCTCCATCCTTCTCGTCTTAGGCTTGACTGTTCTCCTTGCGGATGCGCAAGGGAGGGACTGCAACAAGGCGGAGATCGTCGACCTGGCAACACGGTGCTCCAATGGCTTACTTGGCGCGCTCGAGCCGCTACCACGCGTGATTGGTCCGACCACTGATCTGTGGCCCGCATTCCAGTTGGTTGGCCGCCTCCTCCAGAGCTGCTGTGGCACTTTAGTGGTGAGTTACAACACGAGCTGCTTGTGTTCTCCTAGCGTCTCTTCCGGCAATCGCTGCGTGGATGTGAAGAGCTGGGTAAATCTGTGTGGGAGAGAGTGTTAGTTAGCTTGGAGCTATGGTGTGACTCCATTGCAAGAAAAATAATTTTAAGAAAACATACACACTCATATGGAACAATGAGCTTGTAAACCAAACAGAAGTGATTGCTTTGCTTGAGGTGATCTTTCTGGGATTGAGGTGATCTTTCTGGGAAACTTGTTTGCCAGAGGACTTGCTAGAAGATCGTCCAGGTATATAAGCTCCATGAATTTCATTAGGAGGAGAATCAGTAGCTTAAATAGTAATCATTCAAGTTTCTCAATTCACCAATGTCTTCATCTTCTTGTCAGCTATTGTCATGGCAGGAGTTTTAGCCGTGGACCCAGAGCTGTCTCGGATTACGCTGCTAATCCCGCCACCACCAACGCGAGCTTCTTCACTTTCACTGCCTTTCGCGGCAATGTCACAGCTGCGCCAGGAGCTTTCATCTTCTTCTAGTCAGGCTCGGTCAATCCCCCACACATCCATCCCCAGGCCTTAGAGCTCCTCTATTTGTTAGAGGGCTCGCTCACCGTTGGCCTGGTGGACACCACCAACAAGCTCTTCGTCCAGAAGCTCGAGATGGGCAACATATTCGTCCACTTCCAATTCAATGATGGACAGTATGCGGCAAAGGCCATCTCGGTGTTTGGGCTCCAATGCTGGCACCGTTTCCATCTCCGCCACCATCCTTCTGTTGGTCATCGACGATCAGATCATTCAAAGGGAGCACTGGCACCATCCAGACGCTCAAGAATGCCCTCACAGCATAAAAAGCTGCCAAGAAAAATTGCGAAGAAGTACTGGCTTGTGTCTCCTGATTTTGTTTTTGGTCTGGAAGTGCGGGAAAATCGAGTGTTTTACTCTGCTGCCCCAAAGAGCCTGGACAAGAAATTCCCTTCCAAGATTTCACTTGCCACCTGGTTTAAGCATATTCGCATTTTTTGAAAATTAACGGCTCCTCTAGCTAGTCAAGTTTGTCATGAACAAAACTTATTTATCAAAGCCAGAAACAACTAATGTCTCTTCACTAACTTGCTTTTGCAACGCAACTGTGAGTTCTCCCATCTCATTTTATGTTTTACAGGCAGATATTTCTACACGATCAATATTTCTCTATAACGCAATCTGTTTTATCTCGAGTCACTGTGTTAGTCAACATTTGGTCAACGTTTTTATGAAAGGAAATATAATAATTGAGGAAAGCTAAACCTCTTCAGCATTGTCATTGTCGTTGTAGTATACTGGTAAGTATTTCTGCCTGTCATGTGGGCGATCCGAGTTCGATCCCAAAAACGGTGATGCTCCCATTTTCTAGCTCTTTTTCATAATGATCATGCTCACTCGGAACCAGTGTTGCAAAATGCTCCCGGATTGACTGATCTTGACTGGAAGAAGAGCCTGGCCACGGAGATGCCGAGACCACCCAGAGCTGCGAATTCTGCGAGTGATGACTTCTGCACCATGAAAGCTCCTGCTGGAGGGCTGAGTTCGCTGTGAAAGCCAGTGAAAGTGAAGAAGCTCGCGTTGGTGGATGCGGAATCAGCAGCGTAATCCGGGTCTGTGGCAAAAACTCTTACCACAACAATAGCAAGAAGAAGATCACTAGCGAAGACATTGGCGCCACAAACAAATTATATGCTCACTCAAGACTAGGAAAGCAAACTTGCTCTTTGCGCTACTAATACCCCTACGCATGGAATTCTTGGAGCTTTTATACCCGGGCAATCTTCTAACAAGACCGCGTTATTCCTCTGGCAAACAAGTCTCCCAGAAAGATCACCTCAAGCAAAGAGACCACCTTTGTTTGATCTACAAGCCCATTTGTTTCATCCACTGTTCCATACAAGTTTGTGTGTGCTTGTCTTTGCGATGGATAGCAACTAACACTTTCTCCCACACAGATTCACCCAGCTCTTCACATCCACTTAGTGAGTGAGGAGCGAAATCATTTGGGGGAAACAGATTCTTGTATGTGTCATTCTCATTCTTAAGTTTGTTCTAATGATCGTTTCAGATTGTTGCGGAGTCTGGACTCTCCACACCAGATGACATAGCGCTTGTTCAAAATGCTGGAGTTAGTGCTGCTGGTCTTTTCGTGAAGTTTTATGCAATGTAAACGAATCTATAGGTACTCGTCGGGAGAGTTGCTAGTGAAGCAAGACGATCTGGAAGCTGATATTGTTTGGAGTAAAGCAGCTCAGAAGAAAGAATTCCGAGGAAGCGCTTTCATGGCGATTCCGATGAAGCCCAAGAGGAACCCATGCCAGTCGCAAAGTCCAAACAGCAAACCAAAGAGGTTGCCTCTTCGAGTTCCTGGAATGAAGCCTGGGGAAGGACGTAGGGAAAGGACCACATTAAGCATTACCCGGCTGGGGATGTCAAGGACAAGGCAGCTAAGTTTGCTATAACTGTGGTGAAACAGGACACAAATTAGCTCATTGTTTGCAACTCTCAAGGAAGGTAAATAACTCCTATCTAGTTTTGAAAGAAAAATGATACAAATGTATTTTCTTTATGTTTCCCAGGGGGCACTTAGTCCGCAGATTGTTTCCTCTGCAAGAAGAAAGGCCACATAAGCAAGAATTGTCCAAGAAACACTCGTGGAATCTTCTGGCCAAAGATTGCCCAACGAAAACCAAGACACACAAGCCTAGATTAAAAATAAGTGAATTCAATCAATTTCATCTCTTACGACTTCGCAGTGGCCCAAAGCGGCGAGAAACGTAATGTTTTTAAAAGCGGCGATGAATTTAAGAAGCATAGTGTAAGCGCTCGTTCTTAAATATCTAGCATTATCGATTGCTCACACATGTGAAATTGAAAAGGCAGCACCCTCGAGAAGTGAATTTCGGATCACCCAGAGGGTTCTCCTGTTCCATGAAGCGAGAAGCGTGTCCCTTCTTCATGCCGTAACGTGTGCTCAAGACGGACGAGCTGCCCCTGCGGAGATCGGCCAAAGTCTTTCCAGTTGCCTCTAAGGCGTCTGCGTACTCGAAGAGCCCGTGATCATCTAAGAAAGCTCTCAGCTCCAAGGCATTCTGCAACGACATCACGAATTCGGTAGGCCAAGTAAAGCTTGTTGATGCTTGTGTACTTACTTGCTGCTGTTTAGTGAGGCCGAGAGATTTCATATCATTCTTGGTCATGGACTTGAGCGAGTGGACGTCGTCGTAGCCATTTGTGGTGAAGATCTTACTGCTTCCCGCGAGAACACCGTTGCCAAGGTACTCCTCGAGAGTCTGCATTTTGTGCCTTTCCTAGGTAGGATCAACTCGTTTTTAAACTAAATCTGACGCCTTGCAATAGTGTTTCATACTATTCAAAGTCGCCATTTTTACTTGTTCCACCAGATGAATTGTCCGCTCTTGTGGAGCCCCAAAATTGTCCGACTCGAAAACTTTAAGGAGAGTGAGTGCTTAACTCACCTTGAGAATTCTTAAAGGTATTTGCCAGAACAATTGTAAGCAGCTGTATTGGGATCACAACTTTGGAGATCTCAGCTGCAAACAGCTAACGTTAATATTTTTATCAACCTTGGACTTACTCACTCGTATCCTCTCGATCCTTGACTTGAGAGATTGAATGTCTTTGTAGCCTTCTCAAAAACCACTTTGGAGTGGAAGTAACCCGAATATGAAAGCAGAGAGACACCCACACATGAGGTATATATAAATGGACATACTGTAGGGACATAGTTTTTTGAATGTTACATACATAGGTTATGTAAATTTAACTAAATCCCTATTGGCAGATTACAATTTATTATTCAATATAAATCTAATATTTTACATAACATAAATTGTGTTCTATAAAAGTGCAATCTATCTTTAAATAGTAAAGAAATTACAGTAATAATCAAATGGGGATTTGGTTAAAGTTATAAAAGTCAAACATGCTTCGAAGACATTCGCGTCAAAGTTTTGGGCTTCAAAAACCTGGAGCCTTGATTACGCAGGACCTTTCCCATTAGCTTCGAATCGTCATGCGTACATCATTGCGGCTACTGACGGTGTTACCAAATGGGTTGAGGCAATCTCATGTGCGACGGCGGATCAAGTTACCACAGCAAACTTTATATATACTCATATCTGCTGTCATTTTGGAGTACCTTGTATCCTCCTCTCTGATCGTGGATCACATTTTCTTGGCTCAGTTGTGGCTGATTTGGTTCAGAAGTTGGGAGTTTCACACTTGAAGTCAAGTTCGTACTGGCCTCAAGGAAATAGGCAAGCAGAGATCACAAATAAATCACTGAAGCAAATCCTTCAGATGCTGGTCCAATATAATCCAATATCCTGGCCATCATCTTGCCTCATGCCCTCTGGTCATATCTTACAACAGAGAAGCTGCCAACAGGTTTTACACTGTTTCGTTTGGTATATGGCCTTGAGGCAGTGTTGCCGATCCAGCTGTGCTTGCCAACATATAGAGTCTCTATAGAGGAAGCTGATCCATCTACGTCAACCTCAGTTACTTCCACTACACAGCCAGCGGAACAGTTGGTGCTGTTGGATGAGGATCGAGAGCTTGCAATGTTGTGTATTCAGATCGGGCTGCTTTGGATCATTCTCGCCAGTGAGGGGAGACGTTTCTGCCTGGAGATTTGGTCTGGTGGTTTGACGCAGCAACTACACACCCCGCAAAGTTCCAATCTCCTTGGACTGGTCCCTATCAGGTACTTCGTACTGTAGGTACTAACTCTTACCTTCTCGCAGAGCTCGCAAGACCCGAATCCAATAAATGATAGTCACTTAAAGAAGGACTTCTTGTGATTGTGTCCAGGTCTACTTGGTATACTTAGTTGATATCTGGTTTTATTCCTATTCAGTTTTCTTTTTGCTACTAAACTCTACTAGTCTATGAGAGAACTCTTTTTGTTATCAACAGGCCAGTGCTGTGTTGGGGCTAGATCATGCTTCGTGTGTCCAACTGTTGGGATTGCTCATCCCTTGGCCCCATTGGTATACCAATTGGTCATGGAGGCAGGAGACAATGAAAATAATCAGTTTTCTTCCATTTTTCATTTAGTCAGTTTTTAATGTTGATGATTAAAGTTGATCTCTCATTGCTTTGGTTTGGCTTTGCTTTTCTTG